TTTAGCTGTATTTACTGTTCATTGCGTATATTGTTTAATATTATTATTATTTTTGTTCTTATTGTGTTGTTACTGTGACATAGCATATATTATAATTTTTGCTACAGTAATTTCCATTTATTATTCAGAATTAACTATAGAATCAAGGCAACAACTTTGAAGTACATTATTGCAGCAGTGTAGATAATAAAACCTAGTAAGGAAATGTTTAAAATAATTTTCTAATAAAATATGTACAGAGTCATTAAGTCACATCGATGCTAAAACGTTAAAAATGCTCAATGCCCTCTCCGGGATTGGTCATTTTAGTTTGGTCGCCACTAGAGCCTTTACTGTAGAGTAAACTGTAGAGTCTTTTAGAATTTGTTTATGACAGGAAACTGAAGAAATCCTCAATGAACTTGCCGGGATTCGAATCCCTGACCTCTCGAATACGCGTCGAGCATGCTTCCAGTTACCCCACGAAGGCAAGCGGAAATGAGGAAGAGGATACCTTATATACTCTCCATTTTAAAGCGCGACTGGGAATGCGGGAACACTATTGCCCTATCCTCGTGATGACGAGTTATCATGCATCACGTTTTTAGTTCGGACGCCACAGGTTGAATCACTTAGAATTTTTCGATGTCAGAAAATTGCAGAAATTCGCAATGCCCTTGCCCAGAGGAACTTTTGACCTCCGGATAAATACGATAAAGACATTGATAAATTTTAACCTCTGACGCTAGGGTTCTTGATGTCCAAAATGTTTCTATATTTGAGATTGTTATTTATCATAACTGCTAATATATTCTAAAGAAAACTGTTATTGCTATTAATAAAATTAAAAAAATCAAAATAAATAACTTTAATGTAAACTATCGTTTTCTAGCTTATTTGCAGTTCAATCGAGTTAAAAATTGCAGCCTATTGATGACTTTTACGCATTGTGTTCAGGCTGAAGGAAATCAGTTTACCGATGCCTTAATAATCACTTTAGATATATGCAAGATACCACCAGTGCTCATACTATGGTAAATAAATTATTAGGTTTGTAATTTTTTTGGTTCTGTTATACAGTTATATGCTATTGTTTTATATTCTATGTTGTTGTAAATTATCTTTTGAATTTTTCCTTGTAGTAAATCTGCATATATATGTATAAATATTTTATTATGTTTGAGCGAATAAGGCAACATGTGTCTAAACGTTTAAAACTATTCCCTTTCAAACAACATTTTACAAAATATTCGATTATATAGAAAATTGAGTGACATTTCACGAATATTGTTGTAGTTGGAGATATTAGGAAATTTCTTGATATTCCGAGGTAAACACTTTTAGGACAATAAAGGCAAATGTATCAAAAAATTCAGAAAATCATACTGTGTATTGTCTTTCCTTCCAATGGAGTCTTTTGAGAAATAATAATTTGACTGTAAAATTCGTACATTTTATACTTTATCTTTCGTACATTTTATACTTTATCTTTCGTACATTTACCTTTGTTATTGTACCTTTATTCTGCAGTCCTTGCTTCCTACCGTTTTTCATTTCCAATTTGCTGTCAGTCACAGGGAGCACTTTGAAATTATCTCTAAATTGTTTCTAGAAGCAAGGATCCCATCTTTATCCTTTACAATCAAAATCCCGTCCACAAATTTATTTCCCAGGTTTTTATTATCAAAGGTCACTTTGATGCTATACTAGGAAACGAGAAGAAACTCATTTTATGGTGCTGACACTTTCAGAAATTTAAGTGTGAAGGTAATAAAGTACCACATAGTCAGTCAGTAGCTTTAAGTCAAACTCTTAGTTCAGAGAATGTGTTTGCGATTTTAGTTGCTATTTTTAACACCACATATTGTCTCTTTTCAATGCTCTTTTTTCTTTGTTTTCGTCTTCTGTGATGCTGTAGTAGGAACGACACTTTCAGTATTTCATCTTTGTTTGATGGTGGATTACCGAATGATATCATCAGTAATTGCGCTATATTTTATTTTTCGATTTTTTTTTTTTAAATTAACATTATTTAATAACTCGAGCATTTCTTGCTTTACTCATCAAATGAAACACAAAATATAGCATACAGTACTACATTTATTTAATATATACATGCTAATTAAAATGTCTTGATTTTACCAAGATAAAGATATTTTATCGAGACAGATAATAAAATTATGAAAATCGTTTATGAAGTTAGTATTCAATATAATATAAAGTTAAGTTTATTGGAAGAGTGATATTATTATAAGGAGTGCTGAGGAAAATTTAGTGATAGTTTAGTGATTTCATTCTTAAAATGGAATTTTTTTCTTTTTCTTTCTCTGATAATTCTAATAATGCATAGAATATTGTAGAGATACTTCGCAGAGAACTAGAATCTTTCAAGAATTAAAATTATATTGTATATATTACAACTAGTTTTGTATATAAAACTATTCTCGAAATTATAAAATCTTAAAAGTACATTTTTTTCAAACAATAATTACACTAATTTTAGAATTTTATGGTACAATGTATATTTTCCCCAATTTACCCCCTGGTCCGGCGATTTCTAAATGGACTGTAACTCTCATTAAACTAATTTACAAACTACTTTGTAACATATCTTTATCTTTATTATACTAATTTTTTGAGAGACGCTCAGGCTCCCACAATCACTCTCTGCTTCGCCATTGAAGCCAACTCCCAAGTAATTAACATTCTTTTTGTAAACAGTAACGATGGCAGCGCCATCTGGCTTCAGAGGGACTTAACACTCCCCCGGATTGAAATTACAAAATTTCAAGAAATTATACAAACATTCTTAAACAAAGTTAATATACTTATAAACAACATAATATACTATTACTATAACTACAGCTATTACAATACTATAACAATACAATACATATGCAAAAATATCATTTCAGTTTTCTATCGGAAGAACGGCGATCTTTGTTATCGCTCTTTTTAATTCTTCTGATTTTGTTTTGATTTTAAACCGTTCTTACTTTATTGTCAGATCCATGATAGACTTTAATAACCCGACCTAATATCCATTTGCAAATTGGCAGATAATCCTCCTTGACGAGTACCATAGTACCAACAGAAATATTGTCCTTCTCTATCATCCACTTGTTTTTCTCTGCTGCAGAGTTCCTAAATAGTCATTTGACCATTTCTTCCAAATAATTTGAACTACTTTCGTTGTTCTCTGCCACCGGCTTAACCGATTTTCATTTACGTCTATTATCATTGGCTCCGGAATCGTCTGTATTGATCTCCCTATTAAAAAATGACCTGGGGTCAAAACGTCATAACAATCAAAATCATTGGAAATAGGTGTAAGAGGTCTCGAATTTAGTATTCCTTCTACCTGCACAATTATGGTTTCAAACTCCTCATATGTAAAACACAAATTTCCTATCGTTCTCTTTAAATGATACTTTACGGACTTTACACCGACTTCCCATAGCCCTCCGAAATGAGGGGACTTGGGAGGTATAAAGTTTCAGTCTATTCTTTCGGACGTGAAATATGAGGCCAAAGTTTTATCAGGAAAATTAATTACATTGTAAAATTTCTTCAACAGAGAATTTGCTCCTACAAAATTAGGGGCATTATCAGTGAATATTTTCGCACATTTGCCACGTCTGGCCATGAAACGCTTAAGAGTGGCAATTAAAGCACTAGAAGTTAAATCTGACAAAGGCTCAAGATGAATAGCTCGTGTCACAAACATATACATACACAAATGTAAATTTTATTTAGCACGCCCTTTCTCTGATGCTTGTAAGTTCACATAAAAGGGACCGCATAGATCCAAACCTGAAACACTAAATGGGGGGGGTGATCTATTAACTCTCTCGTATGGTAAATTACCCATAATCTGTGAAGACAAAATCGGTTTGCATTTAAAGCACGTCACACAAAGATGTACTGTTTTTCGCGCCAAATCTCTACCACCTAATGGCCAAAATTTTAAACGTACTGCATTCAATAATCCTTGGGGGACAACATGCAATAATCTTCTGTGCACACTAGAAAAATAAATCTTACTTAGCTTAGAATTTTTTGGTAGGATTGCAGGATATTTCTGAGAAAATGGTAAAGAAGCTTTTTCAAGACGGCCACCAACGCGAATTATTCCTTTACGATCAACAAAGGGATGTAAATTTTTTAAGTTTTTAAGTTAATTTTGTTATGTCCTTTTTACAAAATAGGACCTTCTGCTCATGCTTAATAAGCATTTCCTCAGCTATTCTTACCTCCTCTAGTTGAGGAGGGCCTACCTTTCTTGATTCACCTTTCCTGCAATTACAAATAAACCTAAAAATATAAGAAATAACATTAATTATTCTATAATAATTGTTACTAATATTCAAGAGTTCGTCTAAAACGTTAGAGTTCATGTCAATCAACATAGTTCTCTCAGAAATGTCATTAATGTCACTAGAACTTTTGCTTTCTTGCACAAAGGACTCCCTTTCATTTGGTGTTAGGTTCTCAACCTCTGGAACTATTGGTTGTAAGCACTTGTAGGGAAGATGCGGCTCTGTAAAAAATTCTGCTCACAAGTCCACCACTTAGAATTGTTCACTAGAGAAGAGGCACTAACTCCACGCGTTAGAAGATCGGCTGGATTGTCCTTTGGTTGAACAATAAAACCATGAATCTGGATTAGTCAACTTCTGAATCTCGTCGACGCGATTTTTGAACGAAAGACTTCCATCTTCCTGCTTGATCCTTTGATCCAATACAGTGTAACTTTAGAATCACTCCAAAATGAAAAAAAAGATATTAGATGAACCTTTACGATCTAGAACTTTTTTAACTTCCGTTCCCAATCTTGCAGCAATCAGTGCACCCAGCAATTCAAGTCGAGGCAAGGAAACTTTTTTGACAGGTGAAACTCTGCTCTTGGAAGCCAGCAAATTCACAGAAATTTTTTCTCGATTCTGTAACCTTTACGTAAACGGCTGCACCATACAACTTTTTGACTTGCGTCAGAAAAAACATGGATCTCTATATTTTCATCACATGAATCCAAAAGCAAATCTTGGAACACTAATGTTACTAAGTTCTGAAAGCTCGCTACACCACTCATACCACTCGTCGTTCAAATCAGAAGGAAGCTCTTCATCCCATGGTAATTTACGTAACCATAGCTTTTGTAGTAAGAGTTTTATTCTAACAGTGAATGGTGTGATGAGTCCAAGAGGATCATATATTTTTCCAGCTGTTTGGAGGATGAAGCGTTTGGTACTTTTCTTTCTCCTCGAAATTTTCGTCAAACAAGAAGTCTCTATACTCAAACTATCTTCCTGAATGTTCCATTGAATTCCTAATACCTTCAGTATCTTTTCATTTGAGCTTAGGGGATGAATATCAAAATTTTCTTCTTCCCATTTTTTAGCTAAATGATAATCATTTGTTACCCATTTGCGTAGATTCATCCCAGCTCCACGCATAATTTCCTTTGCTTCCCTTGAAGTTTTTAAGGCTTCTGATACATCATCTGCTCCTGTAACAAGATCATCAACATACATACATGTATCAAGAATTTGAAAGGTATCGGGATACACATTTCTGTACTTTTGGATATGCAGCTTTATAGTTGCCGCTAACAAAAAAGGACTGGAATTAACACCAAAGAGCACACGCTTAAATCTATACACTTCTAGCTGATCGTCGGTATTCTGCAAATGTGTATCAATATTCTTAACAAATAAAAATCTAACTGAATCTCGATCTTTTTCAGCTAACACGATCTGTAAAAATGCCTTTTCGATATCTCCTAAGATTGCAACTCTATTAAATCTAAAATGTATCAGCAAGTGAAATATATTTTGATTCAGATTAATACCTGGCCACAAACAATCATTCAGGGACAGACTACCTATTTCATGCGAGCTCGCATCAAATACAATACGCATTTTTGTTGTAATGCTTTCTTCTCTATAAACTGCCTGATGCGGCATATAAAAACTGGCTTGTTTACTGGTTTCGTAGAATCTAATACTCTTTCTATTATCCCTTGATTTAGGTACTCTTCTAAAGTTTCTCTATATTTCAGGTATAATGTATTATCATGCTGCATTTTTCTCATCAGGATTTTTATTCTTTTTTCTGCGACACCAAAATTGTCGCCTAAATGTTCCCAACGTTTCTTCCAAGGCAGACTAACAATATAACGACCATCTTTGAAACTAACAGTTTTGTTGAATATCTCTAATGCTTTTATCTTCATCGTAAGAATTGGGATCATCTCTGATACCAATTGATTCCAAATCAAAAAACTTCTTCAACTGTGCTTCGACATTGTCATAAATTAACCCACAATGCATTAATTGTTTCTCATGTGGTAAATCTTCAATGCTACCGCTTACCAAATACCCAAATGCTGAGTTTTGTAACACTAAATTTGTATTTGGTACATAAATTTGCCCGGATCTTATCAAATCGAAAAATATTTCAGATCCTAAAAGTAACTGAATTTTACCCGGTTTTGTGAAAGTCTGGATCAGCTAACGTAACTCCTTGTGGAATCTCAATATTACAGACATCAATTTGTCTAGAAGGCATCAATGAGTAATTTTCGGAATTACGAAAAAATCTAGTTTTACGAACTGTATGTGTTTTCCTCTATTTAAAATAACCGCACTTATTTTTGATTTCACCGTTGTTGAAATCCCAGATAAACATCCTACTGATACGTTTACATTTTCTCTTTGCAAATGAAGCTTCTCAGCTAATTCCGATGAACAAAGATGAATCATACTTCCACTGTCAAGCAAGTTCCTGGCTGGAAATATTTCTCCTTCATTTCCCTTAATATAAACAATCGCTGTCGATAATAGTAGGACTCTATTAACTGCATTAAAATTTTTATTTACATTAGCTGTCATAAAACACTCGCTATCCTTATTTATAAATGGCTTTGCGTGAGCATTGTTCAGTTTCGCTACTTCCGTAGACGAACTGGCGTCTGACTTTTGATCCGACAGAGAGGCGATTTCGCAACTCTCTCTATTTTGGAAAAATCGAAACTTTTTCTCGCTCATAACACAGTAACGAATTGTGCTTTTTTCTGCATAGCCTACAAGAGTAATTTGAAGGGCAATTTCTCACTCCATGATTTCCAAAACAGCAGAAACATAAGTTGTGCTTTTTAACATACTCGACTCTATCCTTTAAGCTGAATTTTTGAAATTTAGGGCATTTAAATATTTATGTTCCACATTACACAGTTTACAAATTAAAGCACGTTTTTCAGTCACACACGAAACCATTGAAGAAACCTTTGATTGACTTATTGAAGCTTTTGATTTAGACATTACTGGAATTCTAGAAGCGTTTAATGTTCGGTATTTTTTCTTTCTTTAAATTCCTTTCCCACCATAACTTAGTATTCTGATCAAGTTTCTGGCTAAGAATAAAGGCAAATATAGCGGATGAAACCCCATCTAACTTTTGTTCTAAACATTCTAACGATCTTACAACTTCACTTGTAACATCAATTAAATTTAGAATCGCAGAAGCTGACTCGTTTTGAATAACGGGAATACACATAAATCTTTTAAGATGAGCATACACTTGTTTTTCTCTAGGATTCGAGTATCTTTCTTCAAGAAGAGACCACGCTAAACTTATAATTATTATCCGTTATAGCTATCGTTTGGATAATTCTAAAAGCATCTCCTTTCAGTGCTGATTTCAAATATTGCAATTTTACAGCATCTGATAAATTTGGGTTTTGATCAATACTCGCTTTAAAAATGTCCTTAAAGGAAAGCCAAGAATGCATTTCTCCTGAAAATATTGGTAATGAAATCTTAGGTAAACGCACAACAGTATTTTCAGAAATTACTGCATTTTCTACTTTATTTTCTTTAACAACGTTCGACAATCTATTATTTATTTCAAATTCTATATCAATAATACTACTATTGATTTCATCTTGCTCACTGAAGATTTTTGCGGTATTTTCTTCACTACTTAAATTGATAATAGAATCAAAAATATTATCAAATTCATTTTGCAGATTGTTAAATTTATTTTTTAACAATTCTAAATCACTAACACTTAAATCTGGCTCACAAAGTTTCTTTTGCAACTTCGATAAGATAGTTTTTTGAGTTCTCTTTTTAGTGAGAACATCTTTCAGTTTTCGTAGCCATTTTCGCTACACTTATCATAATAAACAAATTATCACACAAACTTAATTCAGAATTTACTAAATGCAACAGTTAATAATGAATAGAGTTTCAAGGGTTTTTTACTTACCTTACCCCTTTCTTTCAGCAACTGGCTATAATCCACAAACACAAATTCCATTGAAACAAAATGGCAAAATCACTGTTTTACACTAGATTATTTATTTAACTGATATCTCTGCGGCTCTACTGGACCACTCAAATGGTCCGGCAATTTCTAAATGGACTGTAACTCTCAATTAAACTAATTTACAAACTATTTTGTAACATATCTTTATCTTTATTATACTAATTTTTGAGAGACGCTCAGACTCCCACAATCACTCTCTGCTTCGCCATTGAAGCCAACTCCCAAGTAATTAACATTCGTTTTGTAAACAGTAACGATGGCAGCGCCATCTGGCTTCAGAGGGACATAACACCCCCTTATTCAACAACACAGCAACCATCCTTGATTTATCACGTTTTAACATTTGGGAAGACGTAATTTAAATCTTAACTTACATAATTGTAAAAACCTCTTCTTTTCGTTATTTAGGTATGATTTCTTGATCTGCATGCATTCCTTTGAAACTATATTCTGTTTAATATGGGTTCAGTAAAATGAATAAAAAATTTGTTAAACACGTTGGGATAATTGTAGCTTCAAAACGTGGGAAATCTACATGCGTTATGAACGACAAGAGATTGAAATGATAATGAAAGGTTTGCGATTTCCCATATAAGCATAAGCTAAAACATTCCATTGTCCTATTAAGATTGTCGATATTAATATGCATACTACAAATATGAATTTCAGATCCGATGCCTTCATTTATCGACGTTTTTTCGCTGGAATACTTACGGATGTTAAGTATGTGATAGGATTCTTGATTTCTCATTTACGGAAAAGGTGTTAGCGGTCAGTGCATCTGTAAACTCGTATTAGAAGATATTTATCAAAAATCTAATATCATTTCATGGTTTCCTTTCCAATAAATATAGCAAATATTAAAATATATTCAAATAAATAAATAATTACCTTAGCTTATTTAGCATTCAGATGTTAGCATTTGTGACATTTGAAATGCTTGGATGCTTTAACAGTTTATAATTCTTTGTTTTTATAAGTTTAGGGCACTTGCTTTCAACGATCTTCTGCTTTATATGCAGAGACCAACAGCTAGCATAATCAAGAGTAAACTCATCAAATCCGGAAGGCAACTCTTTCAAGCTTCTGTTTTATCAATGTTGATCCGAATCATAATTTCATAGATGCTGCGAAGACTATATCTGCGAAAATCGAATTTATCAGTGAAAGCTATTTGTTGGCGGCTAGCAATCAATCAGGTTTTATCTGATCAGGCAACGACAGACATTGATCCGAGCCGTACACTTTTCTTCACGCTTGACTGAATTTAAAATGCTGCCGTTGTCTTTCTTTCTAAAGTCGCCTTGCCTAGTAAGAATTTTATAGGATTTTACGCTAAGCGCGAAAGTGAAATTTTACGAATAACGCAAAAGACTGATTTTTAAATGGTAAATATGGATAATATACAAATCATTTGCAGCTTAATTAAAAAAAGCCACAAAAATACAATTCCCGTGAGAAATCCTCAAAAACTGAAATATGAAGCAGTTTTAACATACAATATAACGTAAGATTTGCGATATGGAAGAAGTTCAAATTATATACAAGAGAGTACATTTTCAAGTTTTAAAAGCTGTTACTTAAAAGAAAAAATGTTTCTAAAACTAAATGAAATTCTTATTTCTTGGAAAATTATTTTATTTTACTTGCTTAGTTTTACTACGGACATTTAAAAGTGTCAAAAAATTTGAAATACTACAATATGACTTAATATGTGTGAGAAACGATAGGTGGCACACGTAAAATAGCATCTTTTATAAATGATGTTACATAACTCCAATGAAAACCAAAAAGTATATATTGCAAACATTGTAACGAATGCTTCATGTCATTTTATTTTGGTTATTATTTCGTAAATATATCAGTGGGATTAAAATCCTCTCTTTGATCACATAATTTAATTCTCTTAGGCTTAATTTTCTAATTCAAGATATATATATATATATCTTGAATTAGTTATATATATATATATATATATATATATATATATACCTTGATTAAAAAAGGTTACATTTAAATTAACAAACGCACTGTGAGCACCTTATTCATATTGTTTAAATTAATTTAATTAAATTACTTTGTTCCACTTGTCTCTGGGTCTTTATTACCGCTTACGATAAATTTATTTGTTTAATAGTCTTCCATTTTGAAGTAGGGTATGAACTTTAAAGACTAATGCTAAAAAAGTTAGGTAACTGAAGAAACTCCCTAAAAAAGTATTCAAAATTAAATTAAATAGTCTTCTTATTTTATTAATTTAAAACAATCAAAATTATAAAAAAAATTATGCGTTTAAAAATTAGCCATCAGAACTGAAAGAGTTCTGATAATTAATCATGAACTGAAACAGTTCTGATAATTAATCATGAACTGAAACAGTTCTGATAATTTTGTTTAGCAAAATAATTATCATAAACTGATAATTATTTTGCTAAACAAAAATTTATAATTTGCAAAACAATAATAATGAATGGAATTTAAAAGCTGAAATACTGTTTCTGTGATTATTATTTTGTCTGTCCTTTCGTTAATCGATTATAATAAAGTATAGGATCTCTAATGTATGTTATAAATATTAAGTAAATATTAATTTGTTTTTTAAAACATTTAAAAAGCATTAAAATAATGCATTTAT